TGGAGATTTGTTTCCTTTCCAGCTTTTGCACTTTTTTCTTCACCTTCTGGGTAGTTGCAGCCACTTCCTTTACCTTCTCAGCATCTTGCTTCATTATTTGTATCATATCGTTTATTTGGGTTTGTTGTGCAGTAATGCTTTGAGTCGCTATAGACATCTGTTCCTTGAAGTTATTCAGCTGTTCCAGCAGAGGGCGCATATAATCTGCTATAGACTTTGCCACCTCACTGGTAACTTCCGGTTTCGGGCTCTCAGTCCCTTTTGCTTTCACAAGTTTTTCTCTGTCCTTCTTCCCTGCCATCTTTATCGTTTGTTTACTTTCACGAATTTTTTTAAAGTCTCTGAATGTGCGCTTGACCGCCTAGATTCGGTTTGGTAAGTACTTCTAGGCAGTTTCCTTTGCGTTTTCTTCCGCTTCCCCCCCCCAATCGTTCAAAGGTTCATGTGCATGGGAGGCGTCCCTCCCCCGCTCACCTTTTTCCCGTTCGGTGGGGTGGGGTGGGGAGCTATCTTTTTCCCTTTACAAAACGCTTCGAAATTGACTCACGTTCATAATTAGTCATTTGACCTTGCTTTCATTTCATTTCTGCCGCTCGATCTCCTACACTTGCCCCGGTCAGCGTCACTAAGTCCATTCGGTCTCACAGCACGGAGAACCGTCGGAACGAAGAGGCACCTCAATTCTCTGGCATTCCGCCATCGAAGAGGCAACCTCTTAAAAGTTCCATGGCCAGGGTCCCTTCGGTGGGCCCCTGGGGGGGGGGTTGCAAGCCCTGCGCACCCCCTTCTTTGGCTGGAGCGCAGCTTCACCCCCGGGAGGTCCGGGAGGTGAGTCTGCTAGCGCGCCGCCATAAACCGGAAGTCTCTGGCAGCCAATATTTTAAGATAGATGGTGAACCAGACGCAGCTGATAAAAGGCACTCTTGGCCAACCTACTTGAGCCACTGAACAGGATTGCAGAGTGTGGGTCTTGAATGCCCTGTGTTGCTCTTTGTCTCTCACCGTGTCTAAAAAGCAAAATAAAGCAGGCCGGATAAATAAATATATGATTTCTGCAAGTAGTAAAATTTAGCTTTATTTCCATAAAATTTGTTAGCTTGCAATTCTGATTTTTTTTTTAAGCAGAGAATATAAATAATATTTTATAATACCAGCATGGGTACCATTCTTTGCTTTTAAAGCAGAGTTGTTTCTCAAGGAAATGCTATGATTTTATGCAATTTATTTTTGAGGGTGATATGCTTGGCACAGTTCCAGCTGGTTCAGGAGAGTTCAGCCAGTCACATGGGATTTTCTGTATAAGCATCAGGCATTCACTTAGTGGCATACAGCCATGTTTCCAGGGTAAGACCACCTCTTGCTTTTAGTCACATGCCCAAGAAGAAAAATATCACAGCTAGTAATGAAGAATGATAGAAGAAGGACACATTCTATTTAAAATTACCACTGTTATATTTAGTATTTATAAAATGGTGATTCAGGTAGTGATATTCTAAGATACGTAACTCAGTCATGCTTGATGTGGAACCAAATGGAAATAACACTTATTTAAAGAGACATGGGAAGTATCAGTCTGTTGTGATTTTGGATGCAGTCCTTCTCAAAGATGTGGGCAGAATAAAACTTGCATTCCTTCTAATAATGCTTTTTC